TTAATTTAAAATTGAACAAGTATCAGTGGTTGTTGTATGTAGACATATGAATAAAAGAAATACTCTTATGTCTATTATATATATTTATTAATTATTACGAATAAGCATTCATCACTAAAACATAAATGTTTTAATATAAAAAATATACTTATAATTTTGATACAAAAAGACTTTTCTGAATTTATATTTATATTGACAATGAAGTCAAAGGTAAAAGTAAAAACTACAATTTTCTGAGAATAAATGTCAAGGACACAAAATTAGGTGAAGGTGAACGAGCAAGTATTTTATCTTGTTTAGAGAACAGACTCGATCAGTTTTATTATTACGTGGTCTTCGTGAGGATCATAACATTTGCACGTTCAAATTTAATTTAATATAATTAACAAAAGGAACAAATTATGTCTGTTGCGTCTACTTCAGAACTTGTAACTGAAGCTGCAGGTGTTAAAATTTACATGACAGAAGATACAACGTTTACGGGAAAAATTTGTGTAATATTGAAAAATATAAAAGAAACTGAAACACTTGGAAAATCTTACGGATTTCATCTAACAAAATCCAAGTGGGATCCTTATCCATGGATAAGCCATATCGAAGCCGGAAGTCTTGCCGATAAAGCTGGACTCAGGTAAGAGTGAAAAAAGCAATAAAATAATCTGTTATATTTGATCTGTTACATTTTAGAGCTGGCGATTGTTTAGTTAGCATCGATGGAAGGGACTTAATAGGATTGAAAATAAAACAAATAGCAGCTTTAGTACATCATTATGAAAAATATGATTTAAAGTTATTTGTTTGGAGATATATTAATGAAGAAGAAAAAGAAAAAGAAACAGGTATAGCCTTGAAAGGACCACTGCCAGAAATGGCTTGTAAACTTGCAAATGCAGTAGCTGGAGTGGTACGTTTGATATTTCTATTACGAATAATAGATCTATTATGAATAACTTTCTATTATTAAACGATTATTTTTTAAATGTTTTTGAATGTATATTATAGATATTTTCAAAAAATAATTATTACATTTATTTAGATACGAGTTTTAGAATGTCCAGTTTGTTTGGAAAGTTCAGTGCCTCCAGTCTCTCAATGTGTTCATGGTCACATTATTTGTGCTGGATGTAGACCAAGGACACCTCGTTGTCCGATTTGCAGAGTTAGACTAGGTCAAGGAAGATGTTTGCTCGCGGACAAACTTTATAAGATATTTCAGGATATTTTTGATATAAAAAACAATATATATAACACTGGAGAATGTCATACGCGAAATCTTCGAGATTGGCTTTTCGGCAAAAATAAAAAAAAGGAACTAATACAAACAGCAGAAAAAAATAATTTTACAAATCCAAAAACGCACCAGTTATTAACCAAATTATTTCGTGCTAGATTAGAGAAGGCTGCTTCAGCAGATAATTTAACAATAGTTTCCAATGAAAAATTAAATACAGATACTGCACGTATAAATCTAAATCCTGATGAATGTGCAAGTTTATACGATCGAACGAAATCTGCAAGTACTGGAGAATTGTCAAAGGATGCTATAAAAAATGTTGATAATCATTTGCAAATTAATGCAACAAGTACGTCAATGTCAAGTACTAATAGTTTAATATCCAATGCCACACCAGTTTGGGGAGGTTCTATAGATTGTATATCCTATACTCAAATAATATGTCCTCTTTCAAAGCAAACTGGATGTAAAAATATTATTACATCTGATGCAGTATTGGAACATTTGAGTGGAACTCATGAAGTACCACAAATTCATTTTTATTCTATTTGTGCAAAATTTCCATTACCTCTCCCATTTGGTTCAGAAGCTGTTTATATATTGCACTGTGGTGAAGATCTCTTTTTCTTTCAGGTATATATTTTAGATTTTGTTATTTATTTTATATACAAAATAATAATTTAATTTATAAATACGTAGTATGAAGATGAAATTGTTTGGATTAGTAGTACCATAGGAGGAAAAACATTATGGGAATGGACTTTGCATGGTAAAGGGCAAAATGGTACTGAAATAAAAATTCGCAGAAGTGTCGCAAGTCTTGTAAATCCTATGATGTTAACATCACAACACATTGCCCCTTTACCAAATGCATTGTTATTGTACACATTGGACATTCAACTAATAGAATGTCATCCACATGAACAATTAGGGATGTAAAATATATATTATAAAAGGTGTAATAAAATTGTTCATTATTATTATAAAACTAACAAAGTATCTTATATTCTAATGTAAAAGATATAAAGTTATATCACAAAGTTAATATAACATTATTTATATAAGTAGTATTGGGATACACTATAAAACACAATATAAAAAACACGGTCTTATTTTTAGTAAAAAACTAATAATTAAAATGCATTATTAAAATTTATAAGATATGTCATAGATAACAGTACAAACTTAAATGTTAAATTTAGGGTGTTTTACGTAATATATTGTCTAAATATGGCTTAAAAAAATCAAGTTGACCAGTTTTTATCGCTTGACCAGCCATAATGTCATACGCATATTTTAATACAGCCAAATAATTTTCTTTTCCAACAATGTTTAATTGTACATTGAATATATGTGTATCACAGGAAGGCATCATTTTTTTTCCAGCTGGTATGCAGACTTTTCTTTTTTTTACATCAGGTTGTGACACTTCAGCTTCTTCTTTCTTTTTATCTCTTTTGGGACAACTACAAACTCTAACAGGAAGTCTTTGTCGACCTAAAATTCTTCTGTTACAATCTTCCAAAGTAAAAATTAACTCTGTTGGTCTGCGATTCATTCCAGATGGACAACTATTTTTACATAAAAATTTAAAACACACTGGAACATATTGTGAGCCAGGTTGTGGTTTATTAAGAGGTGTCACTATAGACAAATGTTCATTTCTTTCTTCATACATGGTAAGATGATGTGTACAACGAACAACATGTTTGATCACTTTGGGTAATACATCTCTATTACTTGGATTATTTGGTGCCATATGATTATGACATCTTCTAACTGGATCACTAGCATATTGATCTAAACTAAAAACCATGGCAGTACGTAAAAGGAGACCATCTTCAGGTGGTTCCCATTTAAAACGTAATGGCAATGTTTCTTCCATGTTGATAAACACTTTTTTTAATATTTGTGAATACTATATAAATGAATAAAATTAAATTACAAATGAATAAAGTTAAAATTAAATTAAGAGATTACTGCATGTAATTAATAATAATTTAATAATTATACACTTACTACCCAATTTTTACTGGAATCTAGATTACCCAATGAAACCTGGAAATTATAACGACCAGGAAACTCCTCCTTTACTGGAATAGCAGGATCAAGTTCTTGGAAATATTCTTCTTCCTGTTCTTCTTCATCCTTTATTTTATTTTCCAAATATTGTTGTGGTAAATCATATTTTTCCTCCATCTCTTCTGTTACACTTTGTATCCAGGGTGTAGGCACAAATCCACTAAATGAAGCGGCACAAATATATAAATATGTAAATGACATAAAAAAAAGAATATAGAAAAAACTAAGATATTGAAATATATAAAAACATTATAGCATAATTATAATATATCAGTATTTCTTACATATCTTTCACTAGTGTTTTATACTCTTCTTCGCCTAATAAATCAGACTCTTGTGAGTCTGAAAATCCATTCGTAGCAGTCATATTCCATTAAATATTTGTTAGACAAAAATATCAAATTCACGACGCCAGACGCCATTTACATACGTCCGCGGGAAAACCTTTGTTAAAATAACGATCGATTTCCAATTTACGTTAAACGATCTTACATTAAAAGCCGGTTTTTATGTGATTTATTATGAAATATTGTATAACTTAGTTAAACGAAGTTACATTTAGTACTGAAGCTGAGAAAAATGAAGCTGAGAAAAATGAAAAGTTAAATTATATTAAATTATCTTAAATAGTTTATGAAAAAAATTGTTAAATGAAGTATTTTTTGTGGATACCTATCTATAATCTGCATATTACATGAACATATGTCACGTTATTTTATGGCGGGAATAACATGTGGCGCACTACGGCAATGTACGTTAAATGTATGAAACAAACGACTCCAATATGGCGAATGTAAGGGACAGTGATACGTCGTTGTGGCTTCATAACAAGCTTGGTACGTCAAATGATAGCTGGACTGGAAGTTCAATTTGTTCACAACTCAACGCAGAGGTATTGCGGAATATCAAAGATTGTTTTCCAGATCTTCAAACGCAAGTTAAACTCAAATTACTTCTTTCGTTTTTTCACATACCAAGACGGAATGTCGAAGAGGTAAGGCACGCGGTTTGTTTGTTATAGATTCTTAAAGCGTGAGAAAGTCGAGAAATTTATTGTTAAAATATTGATGTAAAAAGACTGATAACAATGATTTCATTTTGGATATTTAATAACCATTGAATATATTATACTTTCGTTATTTATTTTCATTTAGACAATAAATGTTTTTGAAACGTTTAGTAACTAGTTATGTGTGAATAATATTTTCTGTAAAACTTAACTATAATTAATGTTCATGAATTTTAATCATTTCTCCTTTAAAAAATGTGTTATGTATTTCTATATTTTTAAATGTAATTTATGATTTTATTCAATTCTACAGTGGCGTGTCGAATTGGAAGAAATCATTGAAGTGGCATCATTGGATAGTGAACTGTGGGTATCGATGTTATCCGAAGCGATGAAGACGTTTCCATCAACAGGTTCTTTAAACACAGACATCACAGATTTAGATGAACATAGGCCTATTTTTGGAGAATTAGTGAATGATCTTCGAAAACTTTTGAAAAAGCAAAATGATCCAGCGATGCTTCCATTAGAATGTCATTATCTTAATAAGACTGCTCTTACATCCGTAGTTGGTCAACAGCCTACACCAGTTAAACATTTTACACTAAAAAGAAAACCAAAAAGTGCAGCATTAAGAGCAGAATTACTTCAAAAAAGTACTGATGCTGCGAGTAATTTGAAAAAAAGTACTGCTCCTACAGTGCCTGTGAGAAGTAGAGGGATGCCCAGAAAAATGACTGACACAAGTAAGCTTATATATATAGTTTCAATTAGCATTGTCTTGGAAAAAAGAACAGAAGGAATACAAAACCATAAAATAATATATTATTTGCAGCACCTCTGAAAGGCATTCCTAGTAGAGTTCCTACAAGTGGCTTTCGTTCTCCCTCACTTACAACTTCTTCGATGTCTAATAGGACACCTCTTAGTAACAGAATGCGCAAAGACGTAGGCATTAAGCTATTGGATATTAACGAACAACCACTTGGTTATGCCCAAGCAAAAAAACGAAAGAGAATGATGGAATTAGAAGAACAACAGAAAAAAGTTGCAGAAGCTCAAGCAGTGGCAGCTGCTGCAGCTTCAACGGCTACGACTACAACAGAAACATCGACGACTCCAGAATATGCCCAGGGTTTAACTTCAATCAATCCACCTGCTACTCCTATCACTCCTGTAGCATCTATACAATCTTATACGACACCTACTCCACCAAGTGCAGTATCGGCAGTAACGACACCACAAACTCGTATGTTTTTGTATATAACTTCATTTTGTAAGTAAAAAATAATCAATTTTTTCTGATACAGCTACCACACCAAGTACACCTACGACTCCGAGTACAGTTATACCTGTTTCGACACCGACAGTTATTACGCCAGTGGAAAGTACACCTGTCGGAGTACAAACAGTCAGACCAGCTCAAACGGTTACACAAATTCGTATACAGACTACCGCACAACCTGCTAATGCAGCAGCAAACACAAGAAAGGGTTTATCTCTAACGGTATATTTATAATATTTATAATATAAAAAGATTTGTAATTTCGTAAAATCATAATTATGTCGTGTATTTATAGCGAGAACAAATGCTAGAGGCACAAGAAATGTTTAGAACAGCTAATAAAGTAACTCGACCAGAAAAAGCCCTTATTCTAGGTTTCATGGCTGGCTCCAGGGGTATGTATCTATTTGTTAAAGTTTTCAACTAACTCATATGAACAAGCTTATTTATCATCTTTTATTATGTATTTAGATAATCCTTGTCCGAAATTGGGTAATATAGTTACAGTAATGCTTTCGGAAAATATAGAGGAAGTGACTCAATCAGATGGTACTACTGTACCCATGTTAGTTGAAACACATTTCCAAATGAATTATACGAATGGTGAATGGAAGAGGATAAAGAAAAATCGACGAATCGTAACAGAAGAATCAACGTCTGCTGCAACCCCTGCTCCCAATGCAACCGCAACGGCTTCCAATTAAAGAAAAAAAAAA